CTTTTATGACCGGGAGAAAGTATAATCTGCTTTCTTTGGCTGCTATATATCTAGGTCGTGTCTTTTCTGGTGAAAGATATCGTAGTTCATGTGCTATTGTTTAAATAAACCACTTTTTTTCAGATTGCCTGTGGTCACATGTTGGGACGACACACCACGTCCAGTGGTTGAAGTATTCTTGGTATAATTCTGGTAACGAGAAATGTAATTTTGTAATACTGTACCTTGCTCCAAAAAGTTGGCCCCGAAAAGTACATGTAGCTCAGTTTGACCACACTACAGATACACCATGACTACATTTATATCCTCTTAAATTCTAGCTAGTGTCATGAAAATCAACCTTATTGTGTTTGTTAAATGAGTTAAAATATTTAGAAATCCGTGCATAGGTCATAGGGAGCCTGCACATTTAGAGCTCAATAAACATACAAACTCTTGCATGAATTAACTATCAACGAGGAAACATAACACCACAAGAAGTGTGTAGATATAACCTCGCGGTTTCCCTAACTTGTTTATCAACACTAGTCAGAGTACAACCGCATGGACACGATTAATCCAGGCACCCCGACGAGATAAAAAACAAAACTTCTAAGTACATTTAATGGAATTATGCAAAGANTTCGATTTTTAGAAACTTCGTCTCCTGTGTTGTGTAGGGGTGCGTGCGTGCATGCATGCGCGTTGTGTGTCTGTGTGTATTAGAGAGAAAAAATGGGAGAAAACGGAAGAATGAACGAATGAATAATGAATGAATGAAAGAGAAGGAATCCACCAGTAAGTTTATTTATTCGTAAATTTACATTTGTAATGACAGAAGATTTTTAAAAAATGCTAAGATACTGATGTTACAGTACTTTTATAGAACAAAAACATACAGAGAAAAAGCGTTTTGTCAACCAGTTAAGAATGTGGGAGAAATAAACGCAGAACGTACCTAAACAGAAAGTACACGACGTAACGGAGTAAATTGCATGTAAATAGAACCTTTTATGACCGGGAGAAAGTATAATCTGCTTTCTTTGGCTGCTATATATCTAGGTCGTGTCTTTTCTGGTGAAAGATATCGTAGTTCATGTGCTATTGTTTAAATAAACCACTTTTTTTCAGATTGCCTGTGGTCACATGTTGGGACGACACACCACGTCCAGTGGTTGAAGTATTCTTGGTATAATTCTGGTAACGAGAAATGTAATTTTGTAATACTGTACCTTGCTCCAAAAAGTTGGCCCCGAAAAGTACATGTAGCTCAGTTTGACCACACTACAGATACACCATGACTACATTTATATCCTCTTAAATTCTAGCTAGTGTCATGAAAATCAACCTTATTGTGTTTGTTAAATGAGTTAAAATATTTAGAAATCCGTGCATAGGTCATAGGGAGCCTGCACATTTAGAGCTCAATAAACATACAAACTCTTGCATGAATTAACTATCAACGAGGAAACATAACACCACAAGAAGTGTGTAGATATAACCTCGCGGTTTCCCTAACTTGTTTATCAACACTAGTCAGAGTACAACCGCATGGACACGATTAATCCAGGCACCCCGACGAGATAAAAAACAAAACTTCTAAGTACATTTAATGGAATTATGCAAAGAAGTGTTTCATTTTAAACCAATTAAATCTTTAAATGTTTACTTTACAGTATAAACAGCCGATTGGTACGATTAGAACGTAGCAGCGGCTTCATTTCCTTATCATCACATGTGTGAAATGTTTATAAATCATTTTATTATCAGTTTTCACAATTTCCTGCTGAAAAGGCTGTCACGTTCACAACAAGGATCATTTACTTTCCAAGAAAATTTCGCTTTCTTGGAAAAGCAGATAAAGCATACTGTACTTAGAAATTCTTCAAAACAATAATAAAAGCTTACCCAAAAGAAGGGTTAACATTCCCAAAATCCGTCCCAAGAAGTTTCACTTGGACGTATGGAAGAGAAATACCATACACTGAAATCATACAGGTAGGCAGGCCTATGTCAATATTTCTTGCAAAGCGCATGTTCACTAATTATATGTAAAACACCAAACATATCTATCAGCGTTATCAAAGAGTAACATTTGATTCATTCGGTTGTATTACGTTATACTATACTAAATCAAGCTACCGGCTCAAGTGCCAGGAAAACAAAAGAATTACACCAGAAACTAGTAGTCTAACAGCATCTGTAACAGCATCCATCGATCTTATAGATCGTCCGGAGAATCTTATACTTATTAAGCCTTCATATAACTACAGCTTTTCTGATCTGAGATTTTAAGCTCTCCCACACACACACAGAGTCACGCATCAGTGGAAATGATAACATTCCCAATACGAATATATCATATTTATCAGGTTTTTTTACAGATAAAACAGGCATGTACAGTTACACTGTATGGGTTAAGCACTCCTATCTTATACTTTATGTATAGAAACGGGACATGTTATACATGTATATGAACCTGTACATGTAGTTGAGAGCAAGGTGTCCAACCCCATGCCCCAGGCCCGTAGCCAGTAATTTCAAAAGGGGGGGGGGTCTTTTTCTGAAAAAAGTGGACCTTTTCCCATAAAATCGTCATGTACTTAGCTTAAATTTTACCAACAGTGGACCTTAATTTCCCAGCAAAAGGGGCAATTCTTTCGAACCCCCCCCAACCCCCCCCCCCCCCCCCGGCTACGGGCCTGTGCCCACCGCTTTTATTTATAATTACATTAATAATTAATGTCTTATTGATATACAGATGAAAAATAAAGATGTAGTCTTAAATTGTAAATGTTAATTTTTTTGAACGATTAACAAAAATCATTATCTGAGCAGTTTTAGTTCAGATTATGTAACTCGAATTTCACTGGTCGAACGTGCTTTGTTACTTGAACACTTGATGAATAAGTTATGCGTAAACAAAGAAAAGGTTATTATTAACCATTATATATCACCACGATTATTTTATTAACATTTAATTTAAGGACTTGCGTATTTTTATATCACCGGATATTTACCTCACGGAGCTCACAAGGGACTAGGTGGACATATTTGACCAGTATGTACTGTTGACATGGTAACAAGGTGAATTAATGAGATGTCATGACGGACATTAACCTGTCGCGTCAGATGGACAACAACACGCCGTCTACGTAAAACGTGTCCTTTCCTGTAATTAGATTTCTTGTGGAATTTTTATATTTAATTTAAGCGTGGGTGACAGGTGTTCTGATATAATTGTTATTTGCCGCTTTCCTCACGCACCAGGCAGTGAATATTAAGCCGGTGAGGTAGACCCCTAAATACATATCTTGTGTTCTTTCGCTTACTGAAAAGCCGCCCATTTCTACCATAAAACTATAAAGTGTAATATATATTTTACGAAGACGAGATTCTTGCAGGCTCGGTGCTCAAAACAAATTTAGCTAACACATAGTTTATTAAACTAAGTGTGCATATACGATATGACGCACTCAGTGTAATTTCAGGGCACTAAAAAATTTTACATCCTGTTTCTTTTTTAAAATCAGTTATCAAACACCCACACTCGTTCTTGTTCAAACAATCTTCTCTTATCCAAATGTCGGACGAGCAGGATGCACCGCCCTCAAAGATAAGCAGTAGACAATGGCAAAACCTTTCACAGGTGTGGCAGTAATAATACTCTAGTAGCTATCAATGGGGGTATATCTCTTTCTGAAATATTGCGACATCCTACAATGGGTGCTACAAGGGCAAGTGCGTGGGTTTGGTTCTTTATAAAAGTGACATATGAAAATGTGTATATGTATATATATAATTAATTATTTTTTATCATTAATAACTTATTGATTCATTCAAGAATGAATATATCAGTGTAGCTATGACTGAGTAACGAAATTATTTATTTATTTATTTATTTATTTATTTATTTATTTATTTATTTATTTATTAGTTTCAATAAAAACAGATTATTATATACTGTATAATGATACACAAGAAAACCAGAGCGATACCTCAGACACTGGAATAAAATCACTGACATGAAATTTCACTTTTTTTAATCTACAAAGATTAACCTTTTTTTAAAGGTAACTTGATTTTCTACCAATACTTCATACGATAGGTAAAACGTAATATCTTGTATCAGATTTATCAGAACAGGAACATTATACTACAGAAAATTCAGTAAATCGTGCTGAGAGGTTTGCCCGCTCTCTACAAGGTGGCTAATTTGCCGAGTACTTGATATAATTTCTACTTTGTCAGAGTTCGTGCTTTTTATTGAGAGGGTACCTAAGTCTCTAACAAAAGAATCGGCTGTTTTAGCTGCAACACATGTTGCCTTTGGTCCTTATTAAAAAAAAATCCTGAACTCAAAATTGCCACACACCCCCCCCCCCCCAAAAAAAAAAAATAATGATAATAAATATGTAAATGAAAAAGCAAAATCTGTTTCAGCTCCCTTTGGATATTTAGAGACCTTTAGAACCCTGAGGTTTAAAGTAGTAGTAAATAATAATGAAACAAAAGCCCGAAAGTCACGAATGTGATATCCGTTCGACGTGAATGAGGAAATGATCACAATGAAGGTTATTAGGTTATTAGATTCGATTTGCATGAAATAAAATACGAAATGAGCTTTTCGAAGAATCATGTTTAGTCTAAATTAAGGTCCGGGTGCGGAGGACGTAAACAAGTCTGGAGCATGCCTGTCAGAGTATAACACGACTGCGTGCTGACGGCTATTGCAACCCGGAACTAGGCCACGGTAAGAGAAAATGAGGCTGACGGACCAGGGCAATTGTGAAAATACCAGACACCTTTCTTTCTGGTTTTGAAGTAATGTGCAGACTGCTCGGTAGGTGAGGAATGATATTTACTATTATATTAAGTGAAAGTAGATTTTTTGCACGTGTGTAGCTGTATAAAGATGCACAAGTTTCAAAAGGGAAAGAATCCGCGATTGGAAAGTGTGCCCAAAACTGGGTCCCACTCGGTACTTCTGGTCACCATCGTACACGCTGTGCCGATATCCGGCATAATAAACTCGCCCTGTTTTCACTTTAGAAGTCCTATTTAGCCGGTTGCCTTTAACACAGATTCAGTAAAGTAAAGAAATACAGATAGCGACTATGAATCGTCTTCGAAATCTCGCCTTTGTTTTGGCGTTCTCCTTATTAACCGTAGCAGACTGTTCGACCGGGACACAGGTAAGGTTTTGAAAGTTTGGTGGCGTTTTCTACCTTGGCCGAAACCGTTCGTGCTTCCCCTTTTGAGTGCGGCGCGTTACTCATCGTAATTTCCTTCTTTGAACGCACAGCCCCTTTCGAAAAGTGATCAGAAATAATATCATTAGGCGTAGAGGTAATGCTGCTCTATGCGTGTGAGATTTTAACAGTCTTTTGGCACCTTGCGGCAGGTCCCGCAGTGAAACAAGGATTATGTTGCCGCAGCAATATCGCGCTCGGGGACGCCTGTTTGTTACTTTTAAATGCTCCCTTTTTTGTTTTAATGGCTTAAATTACTTTAATGGTTCTTAATCAATCAGGGAGACAGTAGTTTGTGGTTTTTGGTTTGATGCACTATATGGTGCTTCGCGTTTAATCTTCTACATATAAAGCGCCGCTAACGCTGCTGTACGTGTTACAGTGTACTGAACCCCAGTGTTGAGAAGAAAGAACCTCTCGCGCAGCGCTCCTCGTGTGCATAGTCACGGAATATAAAATCGTTAATATTGAATCATTTTCTTTGTTCTTGTGACCCCAGTGTATTCAATGTTTATAGATAAATGGATTGGATGCCTCCCTAGTTAGTATTGATTTGTTAGTGAGTGATTTAATTGATTACTATGTTTGTTTTTATTTATTCATCAATTTACTATTTTAGCTTTACTATAAGTTAAAAGATTAAAAGATTAATTTTTCAAACATATTTCGATATAATAAATATGTTATGATTCAGATATACATTCTCCTTTTTTTATTTCATATTTGATTTTTTGTTTTAGTTTTGTTTTCATTTATTCATTTATTTATTTATTTATAATTTGTTAGTTTCATTGTTTGTTGTCTTTTTTGTTTGTTAGTTATTATTAGTTGTTGTTTTTTTTTTTAAATTTAAAAATCATGTACCGAGTCTCATAGCTTTAATGTGATACAATTTTATCAACATTGTTGCCGCAGATGACCGAAGCGACCTCGACGTCACAAAGTGAGTTTATTTCTTATTTTATCTTTAAGCAACTTAAACGCTTGAACACACTCACCTAGAGAAATACGACGCGTTATTCAAAAGACAGTGACTTAAACAGCTTTTAAGTAGCGGAGACATTTCAAAAAGTTACATTTTTAACAAGGGTTTTTTATTCGTTAATTATTACACCTGTCTGCCTGAGCTTCACACATGTCATAATTAATATGCAGGTGGAGAAGACAATGCAGAGAGAAATCTTGTTGCTCTGAAGAACACGACGCTCCCTCCCAATCCCTGTGACGCCGTAAGTTGCAGTCATGGCTGTGACGTCAATGATGATGGCGGCGCTCACTGCACGTGCCCGGTGGGGAAGGAATTAGACGTAGACGAGAAGACGTGTAAAGGTAAGGTTATTATTATTATTATTATTATTATTGTATCTCTGATTTCATTTATTTTTTCTATTCATTATGTATTGATTTGTTTGTTTATTTGTTTGCTTATTATAAAATTTATTAATTGAGTTATTTATTAAGTTATTTATTGAGATTGAGTGAGTAAGTTACTTAGAAACTTATATACTGGTATTGTTTATTTATTTATTTATTTATCAGACTTCTCATTGTTACTCATTCTCGAAATCTCCGTTCATTTTTGTCGTCATTCAGCAATTTAACTTCACTCTTCTGTGCGTAAACTCATTTATTCATTTATTTACACGTGCTTTAGTCATGCCATCCATCAGTTTACTACATCTGCATGCACTTCGTTAGATGCTTTGATCGTCCTTGATATATATGTATATATATCATCCATTTAGCATATATATATATATATATATATATATATATATATATATATATATATATATATATATATATATATATAATAAAAAGAAAAAAAGAACAGCAACTTTTTTTGCCCCGACCGGTTTCTTTCTTTCTTCAGGGGGTTTATTGTTTATTTGCTACTAGGTGATGTCATAAACGCTAAAATGTGACGTCTGTAACAATGGGTGTTTAATTGTTACTTTTACCAATGCTTTTATCTATTCAATGTAGGTTTATACTTATTAATGAATAGATTTTCTTTCATTTCTCTTTCTGTTTGGGTTGTTTCCCTAGTGAATTTATAAAATGGGAATACCGTAAAGTCCTTGTTTTTGTTCATAGGGCATTCCCTGATATGCCCACTCACAGACGTGCACTGATCAATATTTAGGTTGTCTTATTTGTTGTCTGTGAACGGTCATTCTATGTCGGAGAGTGTCTCCAGTTTGTCCTATATAGTTCTCACCGCATCCACTGCAAGTTAATACACAAAATTAAATTTGAGCTAGTCCAGGTGAATGGGTGTTTAATTCTAAAAGTAAGTCCATTTTTAAATGTTAGATGGCTCCCCTCTTTAATTAGTGGGCAGGTGCCACACCTGGGTACCTCACATTTCTGTACTCGTATTGTTGAGGTTTCCATATTTGTCCTGGAATTGTTTTCCAATTTTGCTTTTGTTTAAATTTGCTTTAGTGATGGACTTTGTCTCTTACTCTTTATAATCTGCATTTCGGTTAGTATCTCATTCATTTTGTCATCTTGTTTTACCAAAGGTAAGTTTCCAGTTATGACATTGTGTAACATTTAAAAATGGACTTACTTTTAGAATTAAACACCCATTCACCTGCACTAGCTCAAATTTAATTTATGTATTAACTTGCAGTAGTCATGCCATCCATCAGTTTACTACATCTGCATGCACTTCGTTAGATGCTTTGATCGTCCTTGATATATATGTATATAGCATATATATCATCCATTTAGTATATATATATATATATATATATATATATATATATATATATATATATATATATATATCATCCAACCAACGCTCCCCTCTGACTCACTGAAAAATGGCATTCTAGTGATATCACAAATTGTTACCGTCGTTTTAGATATCCCCATCAAGTGTCCGGCGGGGTACAAACCTAATGCTGCCAGGTCAGGATGTGTAGGTGAGTTGATATACTGCCCCCCCCCCCCCCCCCCCCCTACCAGCTAGGGGTTACATGTACCTCTGAAAACTGATCAAATGAACAAAACTTGACATTTATTGCGTCATGGATCTTGCACATATGACAACTTTGTTAAACAATGGGCANGTGGTTTCCCCCCCCCCCCCCCCCCCCCCCCCGTACCACCAGCCAGGGGTTACATGCACCTCTGAAAACTGATCAAATGAACAAAACTTGACATTGCGGGGTACAATATTTATGGTGGGAATTTTGAATACACCACCTAAATTGGAGTTCATTTACGATACGTTACCCTATACTCATACGTCCAAAATTTGCCTTAGTCCCCAGAATTGTGACAACAATATTTTTCCAGTGTCTCCTTTTTTTCGAATTAGGGAATTGGGAATTTATTTATTTATTTGTCACAACCAATGGCGTTTTGTTTTTGTTTGAATTTTGTTTGACTGTAGTTTTATTTTTCATTTGTTTATTCATTTGTTCACTCGTTTGTCGGGCTTACAGATATAATAGTTTTCGTTTGGGTAAGTGTCCGCTACGAACAGATATCCGACGATACAACCGTTTACATGTTTATTGTTTATGTTTTTTCTTCTTCTTTTCTAAGACATTGACGAATGTCAACAGCAGCCTCCGGTCTGTGGCCACTCCTGTGTGAACACACCCGGCTCGTATCGGTGTGGTTGCCCGGATGGTTACCGGTTACATCCCAACGGCATTCATTGTATCGGTGAGTCCATGAGCAGTTCAAAATGCCAAACACTGGAAATGAAATAATTTGCTAATTCCGATTTCCTTGGCGGTGATGCATTATTAATTTACGGTTAATGCCAGTTTTCCGTTTTTATCCCCATCACACTGTTACTTAAAATTAGTATATACGATAATTAAATAAATCGATCATTAGTTTTAATTTGGAGTGACAAATCGTTTTTCATGATTCTAACCATGCCAAGACTCCCAGGCCAGTTCTTACATTCATGGACAGTACTCCCTACATTTTTTTTAAAATTAAAATAGGCAAAAAATCATCATCCAAACTTCCAAATCAAGGTACTTAGTGTTGCGTTTCAACGTGTACTTTCACTTATCATTTTACGCTTCAAACAAACATTTCCCACCCGTCTTTTTTTTCAGACATAAATGAATGCAGAATAAACAATGGCGGATGCTCCGACACGTGTTATAATACGCCCGGATCTTTCAATTGTAAATGCCCACGTGGATTTCAGCTAATGGCCGGCGGCAAGATTTGTGAACGTAAGTCAACACAAACTATAAGGGAACACGTGGGGTTAATTTAGGGCCACATCGAGTTGTCACTTAATATTTGTGATATATCTCTGGCTTATTCTATTAACACATTCATGGACTGTATGAATAAGAGTAGCACGAGTTTGACTTGAAACATCCTAAACAAAATCCTGGCATAGTAATAAAACACGCCAGTTTCCTTTCAACCAGTATTTAGTAATAAATTATTAGATAAGTGCACTAAGATGCCGCGTTTTAAAAACTTTCGGGCAAGATTTTGTAATTTTTCATTAAAGATTTTCCTTTTGTTTATTTATATTAGAAAAGTACAAATGTCTTGGGTTCGGATGTGCACACAACTGCCACCAGGCGGAGGTTTGGTATGAACCTTACTGCACGTGTAACTTGGGCTATAAGCTGGCGGCTAATAAGAAGGATTGTGTGGGTAAGGACATCACTAGCTTTGCAATCACTGTCAGTTATCTCCTGCATATAACTTTATTTATGTATTTATTTTCCTTTGGTCTGTGTATTTTTAATTTACTACTCATCTTTTTTCATTTGTTCATTTGTTTATTATGTATTCATTTGTTTGTTTGCAACGCTAAATTCAAAGTCCACTTACTAGTAAACCGGATACAGTATATTTCTATTTACAATGAACGCGTGAGTTGGTATTGCAGATATTCTGTTGGAAATGGAGGCATTTAAAACCAACAACTATCGGTTATTCATGGCCATGACAACAGGATTCAGTTTAAGAACCCGTGCTTAAATGCAGTTTAATACCCGCTTTAATTCCATTACACAGATATGAACGAATGTGGATTCTTTCACCGATGTGACACTAGTTCAGGAGCTACTTGTGTGAACGTAGTTGGGAGCTACAAGTGCGTCTGCAATGAACCAAATAAAGTCCTCAGTGCTGACAAATTAAAATGTGAATTAAAGGGTAAGCCCAACGTTCTAAAAAAGGCATGATCTAAACAGACGCACACCTGTGTCTAGTTCTTGCTTATTTATCAAAAGGGTAATTGTGTTCTAAGCTGTACAGTGTGCAGTGTATGTTGCTAATAATAGTAATGATCGTGATTTTTTCAGTTTATTATAGAATATACAATAGAAATTCATTTCTGGTAGCTCGTTTAACTGTGTATACCGTTTGTATGGGTCATGGTAACCTCGGACTGGTAACTCACTGAGCTGCATACCAGATATAATTGAACAAAATAAACCACAAAAGTTGTTCAACTGATTTAAAATCGTAGTATAACTTCATATGTTATTTATTTCTTTAAGTAGCCCATAAAAGGTTCTAAAAGACACATGACTAAAATTTCCCTCTTCGCGAGTGCCAACCATTAAAATCCATATGGGGTCACAACACAAGTTACTCGCTCAATTATTCTATGTTCATTTGAATTAAATCCTTTTCTAGCGCAAGTGACCTGCGCGTCTTTGGGGTGCAGTAACGGATGTGACGACACACGCTACCCACCTGTTTGCACGTGTCCCAATGGTTACCGCCTGGACACCAATGGACGAGATTGCTCAGGTGATTGTTTACATGCACCGATATGATGCACGTGTATGTAAAATTCAGCTTTTTCCCCTCTCTATTGACTCACGTAGGCGAAAAAGGTCCTGCTCATCGTTAGTTTTTTTATTCATCTATTTATTTAATTCTTCATGTAAATTTATTTACATGCTTTGATCCTAGAACATCACTGAATATTGTACAATTCCCCGCCCTCCACACCGTTTATTGATATTCATCAACCTCACAAGTTTATGTCAATAAGGGTTCCTGTCTTATGCGAAGTAAAGTAACATATAACTTATACAGATCAATGTTGTTTTAGATGTGGACGAGTGCGCTGAGCAAACCCATGGCTGCACGGACACGTGCATCAACACCGCTGGAGATTATCGCTGTGAGTGCCCGGCTGGTAAACGACTCAGCAACGATCTGAAGACCTGCGTCAGTAAGTGTCGGGTTTCCATCATTAAAATCCCCAGATATTTAATTACCACGTGTCATTTCTCGAAATGGTAAAATCGAGTACTAAACCCGCCTTCCCAGCTACTGCCCTCCCCTCTTCCAATTTCAAATAAATCAACCACCACATGCCTTTTCTGCTCCTCATCCTCTGCCCAAGTTTCAACTA